CGCAGGTACGTCCTCCCTCCCTCTCCCCCACCCCCCCCCGCCCCCCCCCCCCCTCGACATGCGCCTGAGTCTGGTGGTCAATTCCCACGAATTTGGTCCGCACAGGGCGGAACCTCACTTGTGCGTGGGGATAGACAAGGCGGTGACGTGGGATGCTGAGCTTAGTACATACTGCTACCTCGGAAATAGCAACTTCTAGTGCTGCGTAGGATTTGAGCTGGTTCCGTGCGCGCTGAAGCTTCTTCTTGGCCTGGTTCAATGCCTCCATGTCTTTCCCGCCGTCCACGCCTGCACGAGTCGAATGGTCGCCAACCACGCTGCGGCACGCCGCTCACGGCGCTTGCCTGCTGCTCACAGTCATGCTTGGCAGTGCCAACTGAAGTGTGCATTGGTTGTGCAGTGGCTGGTGCAAGTGGCTCATTCATCGCCACTGGCCGCATCGCCCGAATCGCGATCATGTCCACGCAGCAAAGGGGGGGGGGGGCAGACGTGCTTCTTTACCTACCACACCGGCGAGTTGAGGATGAAGAGCGTGCCCTCCTGCGACTTGATCCAGCGGAGGAGCTTGTTGCACGAGGCAATGGCGAGCTTCTTGGGAACAAGCGGACCAAAGACGACGTAGAGTTCGAACGAGGAGGTGACCCAGGCAAGGAGTGTCTCCGACTGCGAGACCTGGTAGTAGATCTTGACGTCGTTGGCGACGGTGTGGACCTTCTCGATGACGTCCTGGTAGACACGGAGAAGGCGCCGCTGCTCGCCGCCGGTGATGTACGGGGCAGACCATGCCGGGGCGGTGTACTGCCGGGACGATACCGACTTGTAGAGAAAGTGGAGGAGACCCGGAATGCCGAGTTCGTCGACCGAGTAGGCCTGCGATGCCATGGCGTCGGTGATGGCCGCCAGATGCCCACCGGCGGTGATTTCTGTTGCCACACGGTCTTTGCACGCCTGCATGTCGTGGAAGCTCTCGGCCTCGGTTGAGATGAGGAGGAGGCAGACGCCCGACGCCAGGAACGACGAGTACACATGCAAGTGTCCGGTGTCGTTAAAGTGCGGGAGGCAGAACGGCGTCCACGAGTCCGCCGCCTCGTTGCGCAACGTCGGCGAGGCCTTGACAAAGTTCATGATCAGCAGCAGATCGATTGGGTGCAGGCCGCGCGACTTGGGCCGCACCAGGGTGACAAGGTGCGAGTCGGCGATGACCAGCGCGTACAGCAGGCCGGAGATCTTGACCTCTTGCAGCGCAGAGCCAACCGCAGCGCGGACTGACGCTGCCAGCCGCAGACACTCGGCTGCGCCCAGCAGGTACGATGGGTCCGAGTCCATGAGCTCAATGAGCGAGTCGATGAGCGGCTCGGTCCCGCCGAGCATCCGCCGCAGATCAAAGTGCGGCCGCTGCTCAAACAGCCGCACAATGTACGGCGCTGTGAGGACAGAGACCACTAGGTTGTGTACATACTGCAGTAGCATCCGCAGATGCGAGGCAGGCTCGCGCGTCCGCGCCACGCACACGTAGTACAGCGGGCCGTTGGAGTAGAACACGTACGTCACATCGCCCGCCACAAGATGCTGCAGCTCGTCGTCGTTGTCGTCCACAAACGAGATCATGGCCTGAAGCACACCGAAAAAGCCCGACAGCCGCGACTCATCACCGTACCGTGCATAGATCGGCTTGCCTGCCGACGACAGAATGAACACATGCTTGTCATGCTGCGTCCAGCCCGGCGATGTCGCCTCCTCGTGCGCGTGCTTCCGTCTCCTCGCCGCAATGGCCTCGTTCGACACATCGTACACATCGTACTCGATCTCCATGCCTGTCTCTTCCTCCGCCTCCTCATTGCCACCCGCAGCCACGCCTCCGCCATCACCACCGTCTCGCACGTCCTCGTCCTCGCCGTCGCCCTCGTTCTCACTCTCGCCACCACTCGCGCCCGCCACGTCCTCCACAGTTTGCACAAGCGCATCCATGTCTTGCGTATCCCCTCCCAGCGGCGGAGACATGCCTGTAGTCGTCCTGTCCCCCGTCTCACACCCACACGATGTGTGAGCTGTGTGGCCTCGCCCCTGCCCCCCCCCCCC